TTACATAGACATTAATTTATAAAGTTCACTACATACATTTAGGATAGTTTGCTTATGTAACTTTATTACTTATTTGATGTTTATAATAATTTTTATTTGTATCTAATAAAAAATGAGATTATTATAGGTCATGTATGAAATGAAAATGTACATTTTATAATGTATGTACCTGTTCTATTTTATGATATGTCACATACGTATATGACATAACATATGAAACAATTTATAAATTCAGACGAGGCGAGGGTCGTAGTAAATGGAATTCTAGTCTGCCAACCCCCTCGGGAGTGTACTATTAGTTTATTTATGTTTCCTCCATCAAACGGTACTCCATTACAATATCTAGTAAGCGATGCGACGAATAGTCGTAACGTTGTTATTGATACTTAGTGCCTATATGGGTAAATAGTCGTAAGTAACAGACAAAGCGATAATCTGATTGTCCGTGATAAAAGGCGCGGCCAGTTCACATACACAGGATCTGGGCTCTATTTGTTGCGCCCGCGCAGTAAGTCATGTGTGACGACGCTCCCCATCAGATAGAAAAACAACTTGTATGACTAAACCATACTACGGAGAATACAGAATGGTCCAAATTGGTTTTAAAGAGGATCTTGTAATTTGTGTTAAATTTTTCCTGTTTATTATTTACTAAGTATTTTATATATATAGTTTTTATGCAGAAAGGGCTTACTTCCACGATATTTCTGTAGAAATTATGTGGAAATTGAATTGAACTTTTTTTTATATATAAAAAAATACTGTGTGGTCCTTCCTTTCCCGTAGGTGTCGTAAAAGGCGCCTAAGGGAGGATGAGGAATGGGCAGCAGCGTTCCTCTTAAAACATCGCCAAAGTACGGTAACTATTGGCAAAACTCCCCAAAGCGGAGGCTTATGTTCAGCAGTGGACAATTAAACGCTGATATTATGATGATGATGAATCCTATCACCCCAATGATAAACGCAAACATTGAGAATAGAGACCAAAGACAATTGCACTGCATAGGTCTTATATAAGGTTATACATTGAGCAGATCTTAACGCCATATAATGTTATGTCCGTCATTTTAAACTGTCTGTATTAAACTTTAATACATAAATGTATCTTAGATAGGTTATAATATTATATAATAAGTTTTTTCTTGTAAATGAAATTATTAAAAAATTTCTTGACAATTTTGCAATATATATTTATTATTGATTCACTGAATCGCAGGTGCAGCTGAGTTTCAAGTTCTCAATTCACCGAATACGAGTTGGTATCCGCTTATTTTAGTATCTGACTCTGAGCCAATTCGATTTCATGGACCAACCATTGCCAAAACATACCAGCTTGGATAGTTGTAGGCATTTTTTTACTTTAGTCCTGGACACGACAGCTTAATTTCTGTTCTGCTGAAATTGTGAACTTGTTTGCTGTAAATATCTTTACATAAAGGTTTTGATATCTCGAAAAGACAAATACATGACTCTTAACCTGTAACTCGTACCAAAAGTTGATTTTTTTTTTAATATTTGACACTCGCATTCGCATTTTAACTGTTAACTTAACATGTTAACTACTAAAAAAGTTCTATCAATTTATTTGAATGTATTGAATATATACATTGAATATATTGAATATATAATAAATACATAATGTTTTCATAAAACGAAAGTATTCGTATTGTAAAATCTGTGAAATTGTCTATGATGCTAAAATACGAGATCTCTAATACGTCTCTGATATTAGGATTTTCACATGCGTGTTGTCGACATTAGCGATTGAGAGTTATTGCTCTATACTGTAAAATATAAAGAGTTCATAATTATCGGGAAAAAGCCAGCACTTTTTCCCGGAGATCAAAAGCTGTAATGTTTACTCACAGCAGGAATACAACACAATAAAATAGCTTTATTCGATTGCGGTTTTTTAGAAAGCGCAATTCCCAATTGGGTAGCTCCAAATTTCAAGATAAAAAAAAATGTCTCTATGCTTCAGTCAACTAAGAAAATAAGCAATGATTTCTTTCGAATACTAATGATTTAATAAGATTTTACATTCGTCGTTTTATTATTCTTAAATAAAATAATAATATATGTGGTATTGACAAATATCTATCGTAAACTAAGCGTGGCGAAAATTATTATTTATAACACATTTTTGTTACTTTTATTAAATGTTTACAAATATAATATTTACAAGTACATATACGTATACCCGTTTCCCTATATCCAGTATTAAGTTTTCATATAAAAGTCTAAAAATGTTCAATTACCTTTATAAAACTTGATACGTCTAGACCGGATTTTTACATCACTCTTTTGAAGGTTATTCTTAAATATCTAAATCTTAATTTAAGTTTTATGGAATGGTATTTAATAATATATATTTCATAACAGACCCAGATTCATAAATAATAGGATTGTCTTTAAATCTGACAATATTCTCAACATGTTATATTTACTCCTTATTAATTAATACAGAAAGGTCATGCAAAGTGATGAATTGTCAGAAAACATAAGCACTTACAAGCGTCTACACAGTTACGGTGTTTATTGACAGAGTGCGAGGAATGCCCGCGGTGCTAGGCTTTCTCCATGATTATTCCGTACACGTTAATTCAATATTGGTTTAGCACGATCGTCAGAGATGTACTCCTAACCCACATCCTTTACCTTCAAATGCTGTTTGTTTACTGATCGCCAACGCATCTAATTAGTTTCTTCTGTTGAAACTTGCTACGTTTATTGCAAATTGCACATACAAAATATATTGTTATAATAGTTTTGTTTTTAACTTATTTTTTTATTTCTATGTAATGTTTTTTCTGAATTATATTTTGGTTCGTTTATCAAATACTTTGTTAACTGTAATGGCAACATTCGACTAATGACTACCAGTAGGTATATCATCATTCATACAATAGGTTCCATCTAGAAATACAGTTGTGAGCATATTTTTTTTATATTAGGACAAAACTTGTTTCACCATATATGAAGCCTAAAAATTATTTTTTTTAATTGATGACAATGAATAACTCCGCCTGCGCTAACGATATACACTAGCGGGGCACCAGTGAGGGATGATAGGTGAGAATGAAAAGGCAGGTCAGTTGGTCCATCGTGATGAATACACCAGAAATTCAGCGCGATGATTTCCAGGGAGGACCACGTTGAGGTCGACCTTATAGGGTATAATGCTAGCAATAGGACTGATAGTCCGAATTACTAACAATTCTTTCCCCCCCTAAATAAATTTTAACATCATACACTACATATTATATAAAAATGTATGACCAAGAAATGAGTTGGAAATTAAAAGATTCAGTGATATTTAATAGTACTTCTAAGGAATGGCGACATATAAGAGGTAGCTGTTCATGTCTATAGATAACAGTAATCATTTTTCATTAGATGGGGCATCAGTTTGTTTGCCATTCCATTTTGCATAAAAAATGCGGTGTGTGTTAACTACTGGTTTTCGTTAAACGAAATACGTGAGATATGCACATTTGCTCTGTAAACAATGCACAGACAATACTAATTAGCTTTCTTGTTGTATTCTATTCAACTGAATTATCGTAGTGACTGTCCCGGAAATCGGACGAGTAATTTATTTTTATTCGTCTGGCAATCATACCTCATTTTAGATAGTCATTTTATACCTTAAGACTATATTTAGGTTAATTTGATGCAGTAACTGCTCGTATTTATACTTTATATAAAGTTTACACTGCATAAGCATATTGTATTTATTCAAATTCACATTGATTGTATTTAAGTCAAATATTACAGTGATAGTAAATACACAATAAAAACCTTTTTCATTATTTTTAGCTGTACATAACATTATTTAGAAGTTCTGACTGGCATTTTGCTACATGTAAATGCCAATACCACTTTTTGGAACATTTGAATAAAGTCGTCCTCTATTCCCCTGGTAGTTGTATAATTTTTCATTTAGATTTGCATCATGAATGAAGTAAGCAGTTTTTACCCTTTTTAACCTTTAGATATTAAATGTTTTGTTTGCATACTTCATTTTTATTGTGTGGACAAAAATGTGTAAATAACTGTCATTGTTACGTAATTAAATGATCTAAAATAAAAGTACATATTACATTTATAAGATTAAACAATTGTATTGTCATCGTAACTATATGTATATGCTAAATTTAAAATAAATCGGTCAACAGTAAGAGATAAAAATTTCAATCACAAGATTTTATCCGCATAAGATACAAATAAAGTGAGCTAAATAAAACTGTACAGTTTTATTGTACCGACATTTGAATATGACTTGAATATATTGTTGATGTTATTAGATTTATTAATCTTTTCGTCTTCCATTAAGAAATTACAAAATTTTCAATACATAAAATTTATATATATATTCGATCTAGTTGCCTAGTGGCTAAAATAGGTTTCTTCTTACAAAATTGTCGTAGGCTTCTTGATTAAAAAAATATTTCATATGATTATAAATAATTTCTCAAACGTCCTTTTCTATAGTCTATATCGTAACTAATTTTATAGGCGTTTATAAGCTGCAGATACTAAGACATTATAATTTGTTAAAAATATCTTTGAGTACTTTTAAAAGTAAAGGAGCAGTGGTAATTGCTTTATGTAGCGTTTTAATGGGTAAGATGTTGGTATGCTACTTGTAAAATAAACTTAGTCCACGGTTGACCGAATTTAGATACAATCAAATTAGTATCAAATCAATACCACATCAAATATTTAGATATCAAATAAATATTATCATTATACTAGTTGACGTCTATTCAATGTGATTTTGATCGGATCCCAATCCGATTGTATCATAAGTTAGCATTATGGTTATTGATACAAAGCCACATTTTTTCTCAATAATTGTACCTAAAATTACCACAAGTAGTTGTCTATTTATACAATTGTATTTTTAAATGCCAATATGCCATTCACTCGTAGGTAACAGTACCGTTTATATTCCGTATATTTTCATTATGTTTGATGTATTTGATTGTGATTTACAGAGACCGTCATGATCGCACCGACGTTCAAGGCGCGCTCGACCTCGCCAGGTATTGCTTGCCGTGACTTTCAAATTACCAACCCCCCTTTATTGACATACCCATCCGTATGAATACTCATTTGTGTCATGAGTGTGAATGAAACCTTAAAATATACTGCAGAAAGGGTTGCTTTTTCCCATATACGTTAATGTTATCATAACCGCAGTAACATCATTTAAATGAACTTTATTATTATATAAAAATCTAAATTGATACATGGTTCAATTTAGACTTTTATATACAATATCCTTGTACAAAATATCTAATCAGATAATCTGAAGATAGGATTTTAATACATTTTATCATAACATAACAACTGTGATAAATCAAATATTATTATGACGCATGAGTTCATATTAATGTTTAAGATGCTATTTTATTTATATACAATATTTAAAGTTTGTGAAACTTATTTAATGTTACTACAGATTCGTAGCCAAATGGCAAAGTATCAATATTTTTATTGCCAAATTTCATTAAAATAATGTTTCTATACAAAACAAGGAAATCTTCCTAAAAAACCGACGTATATCATGGTTAGATACACATTATAGATAGGGCTCATTAGATATATTTTAAATAAATTCCAAGTACAAAATAATGAAAATTGTCTATATCTATAGTCGACAGTTTTCATTTTTTATGTTGCGGGCCGACATCTTGTTGGTCATACCAAGTTGTAGGTACTTATATAATAACGTGGTGAGTAATTAATTTGAAGTCATCTGCAGACAAATAATTAAGATTGTGTTCCACAGAAAAAAAAACGACTTCAATTATGGCAAAACCAGTTATTATGGTTCAAAAACAATTGAACCGATTTTGATAAAATTTCTACAGGATCAATCTATAAATATAATATATTCTTTCGGACAAAAAAGAATTTTCCAAATCGGTTCACAACTGACGGAGTTATGAGGTAATAAATTAAAAAAATACAACCAAATTCAGTATCTCCTTCTTTTGAAGTCGATTGAAAAGTGTATAAACATACCTCGTCTTTTTAAATGATAGATGCCAAACAAAGGAATGTTCAGTTTTAAAATGAAAACTTCACACAGATGTATTAATGAACCATACCAGATAGCTATTTACTTAATATTAACATAAGAAATGTAGATATTCACCACACAATATTTTTATAATGACTCATCAAGAATAGATACTGGTTAGAATTATGTAAAAGGGAATCCCACAGTAGGTATATTGTACATATAATTTTCTATATTTAAAAATCTATCTGTAGATATTACCTAATGTATTTAATTTAATATTATTTTGAGTGTATTCATAATCATTACTCTCTATTTTTTCTGAACTAATAAGCTTAATTGTATTGCATTTTGTGTTTTGTATGAATGAACTAGTGTTTTGCAGATATTGTTATGTGTTTTGTTTTTTTTTTTTGTTTGAGTTATATTCGTGTTGTTGTGATTTTTCGATGTATGTTTGTATGTGTAATATTTATTTTAATTTCACTTGTGCCTATAAATTAATTAAAAATTGTTTAATTTTACCAACACATAATTCACCATTTGACATCTTTTTCAGTTATTATAAATTTATTAAAAAATCGAGTAATAAAATATATTTTTTTAGATATGATGAAACGTTAAGCAGTAACTTTCAGAACGTATAAAAAATTTAAAACAAATTATCACATAAACCGATACGCGTGTAAACGCTTAGGACGCAACTTCTTTACGAAACGCCGACAATAATATACGAAATAACCATAAAAAGGGCGGGATCATAAAGCGAGCATTAGTCCCTTCACATTACTGCTGACGCGGCGTATTTGGTATTGCCACGCGAATATGCTAGCCCTCTATTCATTATTTCTCACGCTATTCTACGCCTTAAATAAAAGAGGCCTAAAGCTGTCAATTGCATGTAATACTTCCTCATCTCCCGCTTAATATTATGTCTGGCGGAATACGGCTACTGAAGTGGTCCGGTCATTATATTTATTGGCCTCTTGTAGAATTGACACATTATTAACACGTTATTAAATTATTTTTATTAGAATTATATAAATTTGTATATACGTGTAAAAAATAAGCTATTCTTGCTATATTCATCAGTTATGAGAACGAAAAATTATACCAATTCGTCTTTTTTAAAACTACCTACAGTTCATAATAATCCGATTCATTTTTAGGGGAAAAAATGGATTGGAGTTAAATTAGCATTAATAGAGATATTTAAACTAATAAAATATTTTTTATTTATTATATTATATTTTCTTACAAACAACATCAAAATAATATGACATCGTTTAGCCAACTATATTATATTGGCACAATGAAAGCCAATATTAAAAAGCCATTTAAATACAATAACGTTGCATGAAAGTATACGGTTTTCTTTTACTATATCCTCCATCTCGTATCTTTTCCATTCGTTTATATTACCTTCATTTCTTTATACCTTTTTCATGTACGCCCCACGATATGTAAAAACTGGCTGACACGTAGATAAGGAAATTATAGCTGCGAGCAAAATTCTTTTCAAAACATCATTAACATTATATCATGACGGTTTTAAATGTGGGTTAGGTTTATAAGTATGTATAAAATAGGTGAATCATTTGTTTAAGTACTTTAGTTTACTTTTATTTCTTTGCATTATATTCTTCTTCCGAATTCTAAGACTTGGTGTAATGATAGGATCACCAAAATACTCGATATACATGTAGCTATCATATCTGATAATATAAGTATAAACGTACACGTGAATCAGCATATAAAGTATCCTATGCATTAAGTTACAATATAATATATTCGTGTACTAAATTCTATTCAATCAGTTAAACTGTTTAATTGTGATTGTATAACAAACATACAAATATCCAACCATATTTACAAACTTTAATATTTATAATATTAATAGAATATAAAAACCTCAGAGTTACTAAGTAACAAAGTATTCATTCCATTATTTTCAAATTCCATAAAAAGTAATAAAATATAATTAGGCTAAATTGAAGCAACAGTTAAAAGTGTAGAACCCACATAATTGTTAACGTTTAGTAATCTAAGTGTTACTTCCGTTGTTGATGGGAACTACATAGTTATAACTCTAATAACGTAAACGCAAGCGGGTGGCCCTAGGATCTGTAAATATTACGTAACATTAATGATAACGATAAGCCATACCATATCATACGCTTCCTACTTAATGGAATGTGGATACAACACATTCCATGATCGAATTATTGCTCTGGTTGATAAAGAAGACTTATAAAATACTCATACCTAAATTGTCCGAGTGCGAATAAAATGCTTTTGAAAAATAGATTGATTCATAAACATCCATGTGTTTGAAATGAAAGGCATGAGATGAATATTAATTTACGAGTATCTGATCTGGTGCCTACGCAGTCATACAATTCTACCACCTACATATTATGTTTTAGGTTTATAAGTCTCCACATAAAAGCTTACTCGACATTTTTGTATATAATACTATACTATATATAATACTATAAAAAAATATTATAATGTTAAAAAATATGTTAGTATTTCTCGAAGATAACGTAATTCTGTACAATAATTTTCTTATTTGAATGGTGTTACCGAATATAAAAGTTTCTATAATTAAAATAGCCCTCAGATAGTTAAGTTTTGAGAGTATAACTTATTTTATAACATGTAGTGGATTATATTTATACCTATAATAGAATAGACTTATGAATTCATGCTGTGCTTTCGACTTCAACAAGTATTGTTTTGAATTGCACTTTAAAATAGCTGAGTATGCTACACGCTAGTTATACACAAGTCATTATTACTTCAAAACTATACGATGCATTTGCTAAATTTTAGAGCATAAATGAACATGTCGAGTGAGTTTAATGACCATGCTCTATACCAACTTATTTATCAAGTATTTATTTATTTTATTAAAGCTCTAGCTACAATAATCTAATTAATTAATTTAAATCTAATTAATTTAAAAAGTAATTTTATAACTAAGTAGACGTTTTAGTTGATTTCAATATATTTATATAGTTATGAGATAATAATACTTATCAATAATCACAAATAATTTGAGTAATAATTTGTTTACTTGTTTTTAATCCTTACGATTTCTTACCTTACTTTTACCTTAAAAAGCTTTGTGATAAAAATATATCCAAATATATTTGCATGTAAATCAACCAATAGGCATTTATTACTGTCAAATACAATATATATATATATACACGAGTGCAAACGAGTAAAGGGGAGAAATTTACAGCAATGTGTCGAATCGAATATTAACTCCTTAAACTTGAGTGCCACTTGTGCGTCGCGACGACTCACTTGGATGTAGCGAGTTTTCTGAGAACTTGTCACCAGGAAAGTATTTAAGTGAAACCGATTAAGTTCAGTAAGACGATTTGCTTTTTAACTGTCAACAAAATTATCCACCAGATTTGAGGTAGACTCAGATCCCAGGCTCGCATCGGTCAGCAGTTTTTCTAGTACGAATATTTTCTAAAACACCTTTTTTATAGGCAGACATAATGAATTTTTGTTATTTCTAATTGTATGTAATATAAATATGTATCTAAATGCATTAAAATAGATTGCATCGTATATCCGCAGAGATCAAGCCTTCCCCCTGGGGATTTGACCAGTAGTTGCCACGCTTGGCAGGTTCTGCCCATCTGCTGCCCATTCCTCGGCTATGAGCCAACTAATAGAGGGCGATTATAGGGCGATAGCGGAGGACTAATGGATAGCAAGGAGTGGCCTATTTTATGCCGGGACCACACGGCTATGTTCATTAGTGGACAATAAATAGAAATTATAATCATGAAAGTACTTCACGGATTCAAAGTTGCGGCATAAAATTCAATATATCTGTGAGAATATAATAACATAGAAGTGGATTATTAAGTATTCAAAGTTTGTACGTTTACTTTTTAAGTAAGTAAGTTTAATACAGTATCAATCATTTTATAATGGAAGATGGGGTTAAGTAAACTTAATAGGTTATTAATCAATTTTTATACTGCTTGT